ACCATCTCTCTCCATTCATTTATTCCTCAGTACATCCGAGCATGCATCCGTCCTTCCATTTGTAAAAAGATATTCAGTAACAGTGCCTTGTTATCTTCTTACCCTCCTGTCTTATAAAACTTCAAGGAGATATTTGCCTTATCAGCCACACATCTGGGCTACTCAGGGCAGCTGGACCCATCAGGAGGGTAGAGAGGTGCCAATGCAGATCATGACCTCTCTCATGTTCCTTCTGCCTGCTCAGCCAGCGAGGTTCTGGCCACCCCCTCCTCACCCCTAGGGTCTGTCTCACACTTTCATCCCCCTCTGCAGTTTCACATCTTCACTTGAATGTTCCAGAGGCACTTCGCACTGTCATCCTAAAAGGGGCCTCATGATTTGGCCCACTCCTCCCATCTCCCGATTTTCAGTTAATGGTCTTACCATTCAATAAGTCGAGAAGGCCAGCTACAAAAGTAGACCCTGTGACACTTCAACCTTCTTCACACCCTCTATCCAGCCATTCCTGACTCTTGATCATGTTTCATCACGCATATCTCCTGAATGTATCACCCCCACCAACTCTGCCAGAAATGCATCAGCACCCTAGTCCGAGCTGTAGTCGTCTCCTGCCTGCGTGAAGCTAACAAGAGTCTAACTGGTCTCCCCATATGTGCTGTGTGCCTCTGGTGGGCTCTGCGTCTTCCATCTGCTTCCCAACCTCTCCCCTTTCTTCCAGATATCACCACCTGCCTAGTTGCTGATAACTCAGCATGTGGCCTACTTCACACTGAGAATAGAGGCTACGCGCTGGGTATACCTGCTCTTTCACCCTTACAGACTCATCCCCGCAGTTTACTTCTCACCGCTGCAGAAGAGTTCTTACCCACGGCGTGGATCTCGATCCCACCTTCACCTGCCTTTTCAGGTGTATTAGTTATCTGTGGCCGTGTGGCAACATTACCACAAACATAGCAGGTTAAAGTATCACCCATTTACTGTTTCTCATCTGTGGGTCAGATGGTGGGGTCTGCTGCAAGCCACAGTCGTAGGCACCGCACAACATGTCAGCTTCCTTCTTCAGATCAAGTGATGGTGGGAGAGACTCCAGCAAGAGGGAAGCGACACACAACCTCATCTCTTACATTCTGTTATCTTACTATATTCTATTCTTTAGAAGCAAATCAAAGTTCTACAGCATTCAGTCAGAGGGCATTGTAACAGGGTGTAAGCATCACAACGTAGGAATTATAGGAAGCCATAAAAAAGAGTCTGTTGCATCAGGGACCTGTGTCTTCCACTTGCTTCTTCCCTCTTCTGTATCTTCACCTTCTCACCTAATTCGCATTCTCTCAGAAACACGGTGAAGTTTCTGACACTTGGGGGAAACATGAAATAAAAAATGCTCTTGGCTCTCCAACAGCTTCTAAATGTTGATGACTCTCTTCCACCTGAACAACCAAGCTTCCGGGAGGAGTTTTCTCATTCTCTGAAGAGACATCTACATAGGACTTCTAGGCCTCCCCTTTACTATTTTTTACTATTTTCTTTAATTGCTATACTAAGGTGTAACTTACACATAGTGAGTGTACAAATCTTAAAGGTTCATCTTCATGATGTTTTACATACATCAATCCAAGTACCACCACACAGGTCAAGAAATACAAGATTTCCAGCACCTCACAGGCTTCTAGTGCTCCCTCCTTGTTAATATCTCCTTCTACAAAAGTAGTGGTCATTCAACTCAATGACTGTAGATGAGTTTTGAAGGCTTATAAGTGGACCCTATGGTACATAGTGCTGTTATGTCTGTCTTCTTTTTATAATCATCATTCCTCTGTGGTTTGTCATGTGGTTGCAAATTTGGAGTTCTTTCTTACTGTGCAGTGTCTCAGTGAATGAACAGAGTACATATACCCATTTTACTATTATTTGGCTTGGGCTTCATTTTTTTAGAAAATTGTGAAGAATACAACTATGAATATTCTTGATATTTTTGTTGGGTATAGGGACATATTTCTGTTGGGAATATGCAAATGAGTGGACTGGCTGGATATATGATTAGCTAGGTATATGATTAGCGTCAGTAGAAAGTACCAAACTGTTTCAAAGGGACTGCACCATTTCACGTTCTCTCTGTCCTCACTGCTGTCCAAACTAGAGAGCAGGTGGGCTCTTCCCCTTTACTCTTTGAGACCCACTAGTGTTTCTCGGCACCACTGAAAATGTTCTTACTCACGTTACTGTTGACATCCTGACTGGTAAGTGCAACACCTATAATAATGATAACAGATATTGGTGTATAGTTTACTGAACATTTGCCATGTACTGGACTGATTATTTTCATGATTTTTCTCATGTAACACTGTTATGTGTCCTCCCAAATATCATATGATGGAGCCCTAACCCCCAGTGTGGTATTAGAAGGGCGAGATTTGGGAAGATGATTGTGATGATTTGGGAAGATGAGTGTGGACCCCCATGATAGGATTAGTATCCTCATAAGATGATGGGAGACCATAATCTTCACTTGGTGTGGTATGTGTGCTGGGGATGGTTGGGAGAAGAGGGAGAGCACTCTACTGTCCTTCATATAAGGACAGTAATTCTACAAGATCAGGGCCCTATGCTTATAACGTCATTTAACCTTAATTGCTTCCATAAAGGCCCTACCTCCAGATTCACATGGGAGGTTAGGGCTTCAACACATGAATTTGGGGGGAACGAAAGCATTCAGTCAATAACAAAAGTTCCTTTTGGGTAAATTTGGGAGTGTTCATGTATTTTCATCAGTCATTATTGGTCATTTGCATCTTTCAGGAAATCTAATTATTATCGTTCAACTTCATCTAATTATTCTATCCATTACATTTTTAGAATATGTTTTCATCAAAATGGTAAATTTTGTTATGAATATTTTATCACAATAAATAAGGCTAAAAGGTGAATGGAAGATACTTACATGTTTCTTACGTTGTTATCTTTATCACCCAGTGCTTATCACCACAAGTGCACTCCTTAATCCCCATTACCTATTTCACCCATGCTCTACACGCCTCCCCTCTGGTAACCATCATTTTGTTCTCTGTAGTTAAAAGTCTATTTCTTGGTCTCTCTCTGTTTGTTCATTTCTTAAATTCCACATGAGTGAAATCTTATAGTATTCGTCTTTCTCTGATTTACTTCACTTAACATAATACACTGTAGTTCCATCCACATTGTTACAAATGGCAAGATTTCAATTCCTTCTTATAGATTCATAATATTCCTCTGTGTGTGTGTGTGTGTGTGTGTGTGTGTGTGTGTGTGTGTGTGATCTTCTTTATCCATTCACCAGCTCCTCCTTTGCCTACTGGCCTCTCTGCTACTTCTATCATATGTCAACATTCATACATACATTTCTGAGCTCTCAATTCTGTTTTTTCCTTTGATAGTTTGGCAGTTTATCTTAAATCTATACCTATATCACACTGCCTTTATGTATATATAGTATATAATCATCTTAATCCTAATTTCTCAAAGAGGAAGTGTCCCTGTTTTGTTATTCTGTGGAGATATCCTGGTCTGTTTGTTCCTTTATATAGATTCCATAATCACCATGTCACTATCTTGAAAAAACTCTGTTATGTTTATATCTGAAGTTGCATTGAATTTGTAGATGAATTTAAGGGGAATTTTATATTACTAATCTCCCTTTTCACATAGATCTTCATTAATGTGATGAATTTATAATTCTCTTCACCTAGATGATATATATTTGGTGTCTGTTCACCTAGTCTTTAGTCAGAAAAAAGTAGACTCAATATGCCAACCCAGTTGCTTCTCACACCCCCCACTATCTCACAGCCCAGAATCATGACAGTTTGAATCTCCTCTGTCCCTGCCTGCCTCTTCACCCTCATCTCAATCATGCTTTGAGCCTCCTCACTTTTCCAGGAGTTCAGCATTCTGTCAAGTCACGGCATGCTTGTACTTTGTCATCCACTGCAGTTTCTCTCCTAAGTCCTGTCAGGGACCCCTACTCTCCTTTAGAAATAAGCTCCCAAAGACCCCTTTCCAGGTAGTCTCCACTGACCTCTTTCTGTCTTTCATGTGGGCCAAGTTCTGTGTACCTTCCCTGTGCTGTCATACCATGACATGTTAGAGTGCAGTCATTACACAGTGTAGTCATTACTCTGCCCACCCTCCCCCATTCTGGGGAGTGAGGAGTCGTCTTCACTCCAGATTCTCTATGCCATACCCCAGCTTTTCTTCCTGGGGTAACTTTTAAAGATGTCAAGAATCCATGGATTAGTGAAGAAAGAAATTATAAACCTGAGTTTAATAGATGTATAAATGCCACAGGCATTAGAGGGATTTGATTTCATCTTCATTCTTCCACTCAAATGGTAATTCTGTTTGTTCTGTGTTGTCATCGCTAATAGACACCTTTCTGTATTGGATTTTCTTCAGGTGAAAAAGCAAAACCTGAAACCACAGAGTTTACTGCTTCTCAGCTGGCCTTCATTGAGGAAGCCCCTTTTGAGGAACAAATGACACAGGGAGCCTCTAGGGATTCCAGGTTGGGGCAAGCAAGGGAACACTAAAAGTTATCAGAAATGCAGGAAGGGAACTTGAGGCCAAGAACAGACCCCCACAAGGAGACCTGCCTAGGAAGTTGAGCCATAAAGATGACGATTTGGAGAAAGACGATAGTTTGTGTTTAACAGTTTTACAGGAGTGAGTCAGTATACAAAATGATCTATGTGAACAAGAGTCCCAAGGACCCAGAAAAGACCCTGTGACTGATGCAATAAATAACCTGTGTAAATGCAAAGAATATAGAAAAGGCTTTAACAAGAATTGGGTCCTCGTTTGGTATTAACAGATTCATGCTGGAGTGAAGCCCTATAAATGCAATGAATGTGGGAAAGCCTGCTGTTATATGGCAGACTTTGTTCAGCATATGAGGTTTCATACTGGGAAAAAACAAGGCCTTCAAACGCAGGTCTCACCTCACAGAGCACCAGCTCATTCACACTGGAGATAAGCCCTATGAGTGCAAAGAATGTGGGAAAACTTTCACCCACCGCTCCTCTTTTACCCAGCATAATATGACGCACACTAGAAAAAAAGACCTTTTTGTGCAAAGAATGTGGGAAAGCTTTCTACTACAGCTCTTCCTTTGCTCAACACATGAGGATTCACACTGGAAAGAAACTCTATGAGTGCGGTGAATGTGGAAAGGCCTTTACTCACCGCTCCACTTTTATCCAGCATAATATGAGCCACACGGGAGAAAAACCCTTCCCGTGCAAAGAATGTGGAAAAGCTTTTTGCCTCCACTCCTCCTTTATTCAGCACGTGAGGATTCACACTGGGGAGAAACCCTATGCGTGCAGTGAATGTGGAAGGGCCTTCACGCACCGCTCCACTTTTGTCCGGCATAAGAGGACTCATACTGGAGAGAAGCCCTTTCAATGCAAGGAATGTGGGAAAGCCTTTTGTGACAGCTCTTCCTTAATTCAACACGTGAGGATTCACACTGGTGAGAGGCCCTATGAATGCGGTGAATGTGGAAAGGCCTTTACACACCACTCGGTTTTTATCCGACACAGTAGGACCCACAGTGGAGAAAAACCCTTGGAGTGTAAAGAATGTGCAAAAGCCTTTTACTATAGCTCTTCCTTTACTCGACACATGAGGATTCACACTGGCGAGAAGCCCTATGTATGCAGAGAATGCGGAAAGGCCTTTACCCAACCTGCCAATTTTGTTCGTCATAATAGGATCCACACTGGCGAGAAACCGTATGAATGCAAAGACTGTCAGAAGGCCTTTTGTGACAACTTTGCCTTAACTCAACACATGAGAACTCACACTGGAGAGAAACCCTTTGAATGTGGTATATGTGGAAAAACCTTCAGCTACACTTTATCCTTTATGCACCATTGAAACATTTATACCAGAGTTTAAAGCCCTTTGCATGTTGATTACTTCAATTTTAATGATCTCATACTGATGAAATACCTTTCCTTTTGAATATAACTATTCAGGAAAAACTTTTGGCCAGAGAAATATTTTGCTCTCTGATAATTCATATGGAAGAGAAACATCATAATTGTCATCCCATGAAAGCTTTTGTGGCAGGTCATCTCAAGTGTCATATTAGAAATTGAAGCAGCCTAGAGCCTTGCACTACCCCTGATAATCATCCACAAGAGAGACCCAGTGGTTGTGCATTTGAAAAAAAGTGTCAGCAATTTTCCTATGTTTACATTATAAAACCATCTCAGTACAGTGAGAGTTAGGGGAGACATATAGAAGAGAAAGGAAAAAGAAATGAGCGTGTAGCTTCTTTCCAAACCCTGCCAAGCTTGTGATAATTTGTCATTGGGTTTGGGGTGGAGGATATTGGGGGGATGAGAGATAAAAAGACCACATCCTCTTTATGTGTTTTTTTATATACCCATAGTCAGGAGAGTTGGACCATTGAAGGCAACTCTGCTGCCAAAGTTTCTGAAAACATTTTTTTTTATTCTATAACATTATTTTTTACCAATGAAGAGCATAAATGTTGTGAGAAATTTGGAGTCATGAAATACATAAATACACACACACACACACACACTTAGTCAATTCTTGTTATTCATCATAGTTGTATTCTATAAATTCATCACAAACACTAAATTGGCAAATACTGAACCATTTCTCCTAGAGAAAATGCAAATTTAGATTCCTGTGAGCCTCTGTTCACATTTTTATCAACCAATCAATATATAACCTATTACAGAATTTCTTCCTGTTTAAGGATGTCTTTTTAACATATAACATGTTCTTATAAATATATTACATGGAGTATTTAACTATAATAAAAAATTTTCAATTACATCATTTCATATAATGTATTCTGTTGTTACTGTACTGCTTTAAATTTCTCAGTGATACACAAAAACAATACACATAATTTAGTACTCACATACAATAAACATAGTAAACAGTAATGTGAACACATACACTATGTTATACTGTACAGTCAGTGATATTAAACTACACCACATCGAGCATAAAACTTCACAATAGTGCATTTCTGTTTATTGCCTCCCATTCCTTCTGCCATTAGTGTTGGTAGTTTTACTTCTCCATGTCATGCGCCCTTCGGCAAGTGGTTATTCTTTAAACAGTTATCTTTTAAAGAGATTTAAATGCTATGAAATAGAATCTTCATTTTTACCCAGGGAATGACTGTGTAGTTCTCTTCATTCTTTTGGTTTTCCTTTGACATTTCAAGGATCATTCTTCTGGAAGGAAAATCAGTTTCTAAAGTAAAAGTCTGTGAGAACTGAATTTTTTCAGTCTTTGTATATCTGAAATTGCGTTTATTTCACATTTGTTTTTGAAATGTATTTTCCAGTTTATTTCTTCTAGAACTTTAAAAGTGTTCTACTAACGGGGTACCTGGATGGCTTAGTCAGTTGAGCATCCGACTTCAGCTCAGGTCATGATCTCATGGTTCATGAGTTCAAGCCCTGCATTGGGCTCACTGCTACCAGCCCACAGCCCACTTTGGATTCTCTCTCTCTCAAAAATGAATAAATGTTTTTAAAAAGTTCTACTATTTTATGGATTTTATTTTTGCCAGAAAAAAAGTCTGCTATTGCCATTATCATTTTTCCTATTTACATGAAATACCTTCCTTCTTTTCTCAGTTGCTTTTAAGATTTTCTGTTTATCACTGGATTAAGCAATTGGATTATGATGGCCTTGGTGAAAGTTTTTACCTTTTAAGATTTTATTTTATTTTATCTTGTTTTGTTATCTTTTATTTTATCTTATTTTTTTAGTAATTTCTATACCCAACATGGGACTCCATTTAACAACCCAGAGATCAAGAATCACATGCCCTTCTGAGTCACCTAGGTGCCCCTAAGTTTTTATTTTAATTCCAGTTAGCTGACACAATGTTACGTTAGTTTCAGGTGTACACTATAGTAATTCAGTAGTTCCAAATATCACACTCTGCTCATCACAAGAAATACACTCCTTGGGGGAGGGGCCAAGATGGTGGAATAGCGTGGCAGTTCTTTTGCATCCTTTATCCCTGAAATGCAGCCAGATCAACACCAAAACATCTTGCACAGCTAGAAAACAGATTTGAAGATTAACAAAGCAATCTGCACGACCTGAACCACAGAACTCAGCAGGTACATGGCGCACAGAGGTGAACTAGGGGAGAGAGAAGCCATGGGGTCAGGGAGCTATTTTGCTTGTGGAGAGAGGACAGAGATGGGGGGGGGGGATTATGGGAAAAGCACCACACCCCCTCAAAGCAGCTGGAGAGAAAAAGAGTGGAAACAGACACAGGAACTGAACAAAAAAAGAGAGAAAAAAGAAAGAGGGTTTAAATACCATTAAGATTCTATAAACAGGGGGAGCACAGAGTCTGAAACTCCACAATTCAATACCTGCTGAAGCTTTGATCAGAAGGGTGAATCCCATGGGGCAGACAGTGAGGTCCAAGGGGTCCTCAGGCCACATGGGGAAAGGTGGTTCCCTTGCTGGGAGGACATTTGGTAGAGGCACTGTGACCTCCCCAAAGGCAAAGGTCTCAGCAGATCCCCGAGAACAGTGACATTCACTGGTGTTGAAGTGAGGACGTTAAGGGTAAAGCCTGGTGCCAGATGTGTGTTGTGATTTACCACAATCCCTGAAACACTGCTGCTACACGATTGCACAAACTTTTTCTGGGGCAGGTTGGTACCCAGCCACAGTCTCTGGGCACTGATAGTGGCACAGTCCCACGAACGTTCCTGGGGACAGGCTGACACCCAACTATTGCTCAGTGAAACCCTCCCCCAGAGAGTCAGAACAGATGAAAGCTGCAGAAGTGAAGGAGGGGTTGGTAAACACAGCCCCATCTGAAATAAAACCCAGAAGGGAGGTGCCTCCTGGCAGCCTGATGGCTCAGGCACAGACAATGTAGAAGTGGGAGTGGACGGTAGCCAGAGACAAAGGAGGGGTGCTTGATTAATGGTCAGGGAGAGCAAAGAGCTTTGATACTAGAGACTGGGTAGCTGGGTGATGCCATTTTCACCCCTCCCATGCATGTGCTTACAGGCCTACACGGGCCACAACAATCCATCCCAGTAATCTCAGCAGCACTGCCTAGTGGCAAAAGGAGGTGGAACACTAAGCCTTTCAGAACTGAACCAACCTTGCTCTTGAGGACCACAAGTCTCTCCACCTCCTTAGTTTATGAACTATAACATGCTTCATAGTTTGACTTCTAGGGGAAACCGAATGTAATTTCAATCATATTTGATTCTGTTCGCTGGTCCATCTATTTAATTTCTTTTTCTTTTCTTATTCTTGAGCACAGAGAGAAAAAAATTTACTTTTATTTCCCATTTTTATTAAAAATTTTCTCTTTAATTTTTCTACTATATTTTTTATTTTAGTAAATTTCTTATATTCTATTTTACTTCCATTATTTCATTTTACTCTATTTTACTGTATTCATTTTCTCAAAATTTCAAAGGTTATCTTTTTTTCTCCCTTTCTTATCTCTCCCTTTCTTCTCTAACCTATCAAATTTCTTTCAATAACCAGACCAAAACACACCTAGGATCTAGCATCTTTTATTTCTTTGTGTGTTGTTTTTAATTGTTTAATTTTTATTTTTTTACTTTATTAAATCCTTGTCTTCCTTCAAATGATGAAACAAAGGAATTCACCCAAAAGAAAGAACAGAAGAAATGACAGCCAGGGAATTAATCAACACAGATATAAGCAAGAAATCTGAATCACAATTTAGAATCAAGATAATAAGAATACTAGCTGGGGTTGAAAAAAGCACACAGTCGCTTTCTATGGACATGAAATAAGTAAAATCTAGTCAGGACGAAATTAAAATGCCATAACTGAGATGCAATCTCAAATGTATGCCACGGCGGCAAGGACGGATGAAGCAGAGCAGGGAATCAGCGATATAGAACTCAAACTTACGGAGAATAATGAAGCATAAATAAAGAGGGAAACTAAGGCAAAAGAACATGACATAAGAATTAGAGAACTCAGTGACTCTTTAAAAAGGAATAAGGTCCAAATCATAGGGGTCCCAGAAGATGAAGAGAGAGAAAAACGGGTAGAAGGTTTATGTGAATAAATCATAGTAGAAAACTTTCCTAACCTGGGAGGAAAGACACAGACATCAAAATCCAGGAAGCACAGAGAGCTCCTGTGAGATTCAACAAAAACCAACCATTAACAAGGCATATCATAGTCAAATTCACAAAACACACAGACAAGGAAAGAATTATGAAAGCAGGAAGGGAAAAGACCTCCTTAACCTACAAGGGAAGACAGATCAGGTTTGTAGCAGACCTATCCATAGAAACTTGGCAGGCCAGAAAGGAGTGGCAGGATATATTCAATGTGCTGAATTGGAAAAATATGCAGCCAAGCATTCTTTATCCAGCAAGGCTGTCATTCAAAATAGAAGGAGAGATAAAGAGTTTCCCAGACAAACATAAACTAAAGGAGTTCATGACCACTAAACCAGCCATGCAAGAAATTTTAAGGGGGACTCTCTGAGGGGAGAAAAGATGGGGGGGGGAGACCAAAAGGAACAAAGACTAGAAAGGACCAGAGAACACCATCAGAAAGGACTCCAACTCTATAGGCAACATAATGGCAATAAATTCATATCTTTCAGTACTCTAAACATCAATGGACTAAAGGCCCCAATCAAAAGACATAGGGTAACAGAATGGATAAGAAAACAAGATCCATCTTATACTGCATACAAGAGACCCATTTTAGACCTAAATTCACCTTCATATTGAAAATAAGGGGATGGAGACCCATCTGTCACGCTAATGGTCACCAAAAGAAAGCCAAAGTAGCTATACTTACATCAGAAAATCTAGATCTTAAAATAAAGACTGTAACAAGTGATGAAGAAGGGCATTTTTAAAATGTCTTTATTTTGAGAGACAGAGACAGAGAG